ATCCTCATCTCAATTGTTGATAAAGATGTTGGATAGCATGGGGCCAAGAACTGAACCCTTCAGGACACCAGTGGCCTCCTCCGTCCAAGACAATACAGACCTGTCCACTAATACAGACTCTCTGCGTTTGACCCCTTAGCCAGTTCCCAACTCACCTGACTGTGGACTCTGCCAGCCCACAGTCTCCTAGTTTTCTTGTAAAGGTATCATGGGAGATCATACTAAAGGCCTTTTTAAAATCCAAGTATATGACATCAACCACATCTCCCACATCTAAGTAGTTCATTACTTGGTCATAGAAGGAGATGCGGTTGGTCAGACACAACCTGCCCACAGCGAAACCATGTTGGTTATCCCTCAGCATCATGCCTTCTCCCAGACTCCCACAAATGGATTTCTTGATATTTTTTCCCAACATTTTACCCAGTATCAAGGTCAAACTGATTGGCCTATAGTTTCCTAGAGCTTCCCTCCTCTCTTTCTTAAAAATGGCACCACATTGTTCCTCTTCCAGTCCTCTGGGACCTCTCCTAAACACTCATAAGTCTTCAAATACCTTCATCAACAGTCCCACAATGTCTCCAGCCAGTTCCTTCAGCAGGCATGGTCCATCTGGTCCTGCCAACTTGCCGACATTCAGCTGCTCTAAGTGCTCCCTCACCAGTATGACACTGACCACTGGTTGGCAATTACCCCCTCATCCATCCAGTATCTGACCAGGTGGGTGACCACCATTTGTATGTAGGATACTGATGCAAAGCAATCATTAAAGAGTTTGGCTTTCTCCTGTCTGTTACCAGCTGTCCTATCCCATTCTGCAAGGGACCCACATTACTCTTGGTCTTCCTCCAGCTCCCTATATACCTAAAAAAGGGCTTCTTATTGTCCTGATTTCATTTGCCGACCTGATCTTGGTTACCACCCTTGTTTTCCTTATCCTCTCCCTACAAATATGGGCTATACTTGTATATTCCTCCTTGGTGATTACCCTTTGTTTCCATGGCCTGTAAGCCTCTCTGGTCTTTTTTAAGCACTCGTTGACTCTTCTGGAAAGCCAAGAGGGCTTCCCTGTCCTTTTACCACCTTTCCTACATAAAGGAATGGACCTTTCCTGCCCTCTGAGGATTGCTCCATTGAGGAACAACCACCCTTCCAGAACTTCCTTCCCCTCCAGTCCCTCTTCCCATAGGGTCTCTCTCACTATTATCCTAAGCTCATTGAAGTCAGTCTTCCTGATGTCAGGCACCTCTGCCCTACTGGCTGACTTCCTTGCCATACATTGAATAATGAATTCTATTGATCACTATCACTATCTCCCAGATTACCCTCAGTCCTGATTGGTGTCATATATCTTGACTTCAAAAAAGCTTTGATCTGGTAGCCCATGATCACCTCTTGGTGAAACTGGCCAATTGTGACCTTCAGTCCACCACAATCTACTGGCTGGGAAATTGGCTCCATGGTTGGACCCAGAGGGTGGTAATTGATGGAAGTCAATCGTCATGATGCCCTGTGACCAGTGGGGTTCTCCAAGGCTCTGTCCTTGGACCCATATTGTTCAACATCTTCATTAATGATGTGGACATTGGAGTCAGAAGTGGACTGACCAAGTTCACCAATGACACCAAACTTTGGGGCAAAGCATCCACACCTGAAGACAGGAGGGTGATCCAGGCTGACCTGGACAGGCTCAGCAAATGGGCCAACGAGAACCTCATGGTGTTTAACACTGAAAAATGCAAGCTTCTCCACCTTGGGAGGAAAAACCTGCAGCATCCTTATAGGCTCAGCAGTGCTACACTGGCTAGCACTACGGAAGAAAGAGACTTGGGGGTCATCATTGACTGCAAGATGAACATGACCCTTCAATGCGATGCTGTGGCTAGTAAAGCGACCAAAACTCTGGCTTGCATCCATAGATGCTTCTCAAGCAAATCCTGGGACGTCATTCCCGTGAGGCTACAGCTGGAGTACTGCATCCAGGTTTGGGCCCCACAATTCCAAAAGGATGTGGAGAAGCTTGAGAAAGTCCAGAGAAGAGCCAAGATCAGATGAAAACAGACCTTTCGACGACAGGCTGAGAGCTATGGGGCTCTTTAGCCTGGAAAAGTGCAGGCTCAGGGGTGATCTGATGGCCACCTATAAGTTTATCAGGGGTGAGCACCAGTATTTGGTGGAATGTTTATTCACCAGAGTGCCCCAAGGGATGACGAGATCAAATGGTTATAAACTACCATTTCAGGCTGGACATAAGGAAGAATTTCTTTACTGTTCAAGCCCCCAAGGTCTGGAATAGTGATTGGAGGTGGTTCAAGCACTTACATTGAACACCTTCAAGAGAAAATTGGATGCTTATCTTGCTGGGATCCTATGACCCCAGCTGACTTCCTGCCCTTTGGGCAGGGGACTGGACTTGATGTTCTTCTGAGGTCTCTTCCAGCCATAATGTCTATGAAATCTATGAAATCCTCAGATCTCCCACCAGGTTACCCCACTTGGCCAGACCCAAATCCAAAAAAGCCTTCCCCCTGGTCAGCCATTCACCTCCTGTACTAAACAAAGTTCTTCCACTCAGGTAAAAAACCCACATGATCATAGGTTTTTAACCTGTCCAGAGGACAACCTACAGAATCCTATTGTTTATCTGTGGCCATCTTCTCATAACTGCAGAGGACAAAGTTGATCAACAACAGATTTTCATTATTAGTGAATTCAAACAAGGAAGCAGTTTCTGTTGCTCTCTCAGGAAAGTTCAAAGAATTGAGGTCAATTGCAATAAAGAAATCAGCATTTATTAAAAAATATCTAATGTTTTCTAGGTACATTTTCCCTGTGCCCAGGAAAATGTACAAAGTTTCCCTCCTACATTGGGTTCATTTTAAAACAAATATTTGCTCTCTTTTCTTAAGTCATGTTCTGCAGTGCTTACTTTCATTTGTAAGGCTGTGTTACATATAATTACATTCAATTTATTTAAATTACATTATGATATTACCAAGTTGTGTAGTTTTTGAAAATGCAAAATTTGGGTATTTTTGAACTGCAAACTAGTCCTGCTGCTGTGGGTTTTTATAAAAACAAAAATATTATATTATTATAATTAATCAATATGTTGTAATATAAAAAGATTCAGTGCTGATGTGACAAGTTTCCTGGCCTGGCTTGGCACTGGGTTCTGACATCTTCACCCTTGCTTCAAGGCTTTCTGAGTCCTGGTCCTTCATAGTTAACTCACCTGCCATGACTTGATATTATAGGTTTGTAGGGAGGATGCCCCAGAAGACAGATGTGGGTTTTGGTGTAGGTCCTTGTCTGAACTCAGACTCTTCCAGGCTTTTTCTCACTTTTAATCTGGCTGAGTCCCACAACCCAGGTCCACCACACCAGGACCCTAAGTTCTTGGCCCTCAGCTCTGAGGTTGGACTCAGAGAGTAGTGGTCGATGGAATCGAATCATTATGGTGCTCCATGACCGGTGGTGTCCCCCAAGGTTCTGTCCTTGGACCGATTCTCTTTAATATCTTTATCAAGGATATGGACATTGGTGTCAGAAGCACACTGGCCAAGTTTGCCGATGACACTAAACTTTGGGGCATAGCGTCCACACCTGAGGATAGGCTAGTGATCCAGGATGACTTGAATAAGCTTAGTAAGTGGACAGATATAAACCTGATGATGTTCAATACCAAAAAATGCAAGGTACTCCATCTCAAGAAAAACCACCCCGTAGCATGCTTATAGGCTTGGCAGTGCTACGTTCACTAGCACCATGGCTGAAAGAGACTTGGGGGTTATGATTGACCACAAGATGAACATAAGCCACTGTAAGGGAGGAGAGCCAGAGCCAGGGCCGGGCTGGGAGGGAACCCAGCCGGGCACGAGCCGACACCACTTGCACGTAGTGGTCAGCGGCGAGCGGCGGGAATTTGAACCCTGCAGGAACCCGGAAGCAGCGGCAGTGGCAGCGGCGGACCTGAGGGAACTGGGTCTGACGGCAGCGGCAGCGGCAGCGGCAGCGGCAGAGCAGAGAGAGACGGGTCAAGAGACATAGGAGCCGGGCGAACCGGGCCCGAAGGGAGCAGAGTGGCCAAAAACAGGCCAGAGGCAGGGTGGTTGGGAGCAGTGGATCCTGGGACGGTGGCACCCGAGGCGACGGAATCTGACACTGCCGAGGCCAGGAGAGCTGCGGAAGCAACAGCGCCCCAGTGGAGCAGGGCCAGCGGACGGAGCAGCGGACGGAGCAGCTGGACCTTTTGGGGTAAGTGGGACCCCGAGGCAGGGGTCTGCACACCAGACGGGAAGCCTCAGAAGGGCAAAGGAGCCAAGGCGCCGCGAGGTGCAGCACAAGGCCCGTAGGGGAGCAGGGCCAAGAATTTTGTTCCCCTTTTTCATACGGTTTGGACTTATCGTACTTTATCGTGGGGAGAGAGGCCTGCAGCCCACCCAAGACACCGGAGGCCAGGGCGAGGGTGTAGGGGTGGAGGAGCCCTCAGGACGCAGGTATCCGGGGCCAAGCCAGACGGCGATGAAGGTCTCATCATCGGACGGTACACGCCGCACCAAACTGAACAGCATATCGGAACGTCAAGTCGTGGCAGGCGAGGCAGGCGCATACATGCGTGCGGGTCGGGTGAGCCTTCATTGTGAGTGGGGAGTCCGGGGACCCTTCCCCGAAGACTGGGAGTGGGAGGGACTTGTGCCCAAAGGGAACCCCTTACAGCCACCAATGTGATGTCAGAGCTGGTAAAGCAAACAAAACTCTGGCTTGTATCCATAGATGCTTCTCAAGTAAATCTGAGGTTGTCATCCTCCTGCTGTACTCAGCCTTGGTGAGGCCACAGCTGGAGTACTGCATCCAATTCTGGCTCCACAATTCAAGAAGGATGTTGAGAAGCTTGAGAGAGTCTAGAGGAGAGCCATATGCATGATCAGAGGGCAAGAGAATAGGCCTTATGATGAGAGGCTGAGAGCCATGGGACTCTTCGGCCTGGAAAAGTGCAGGCTCAGGGGTGACCTGGTGGGTGTCTATAAGTTCATAAGGGATGTGCATCAGGATCTGGGGGAATGTCTGTTCACCAGAGTGCCCGAAGGGATAACAAGGACCAATGGTCATAAACTTCTCCATGACCATTTTAGGCTGGACATAAGGAAAAACTTCTTTACTGTCCAAGCCCCCAAGGCCTGGAATAGACTCCCTCCAGAAATGGTGCAGGCACCTACTCTGGATTCATTCAATAAATGGTTGGATTCTTATCTTGCTGGGATCCTTTGACCCTAGCTGACTTCATGCCCTTGGGGCAGGGGGCTGGACTTGATGATCTTTAAGGTCCCATCCAGCCCTAATGTCTATGAATCTATGAAATCTATGTATGTGAGAAAAACAGGAAGTAAGAGAGAAAAACAGGAAGTGTGGAATCAACTGATCGAATGCAGAAATTTTAATTGGTCCATGCAGGATATCTTCAGTGCTTCTAGGAGTGTGTGTGTTAATTTGGTAGTCCCTCTTTCTATATTGGTTAATCTGTATAGAGCTTAGCAAAGCTATTTACAAAATACATATAACCTCATAAATTTGGCATACTCAGGACTGAGCACGTAATGGAAATTTGAAAATTCCAGATTTTTGAAACTGGAGTGGTGGTCGGTGATGGAGTAGGGAGTGGGGGGCAGCAGCAGCCAGTCTCAAAGAGGCATCTGTCATGTGCAAGATTCCCCCTCCGCTGCTCCAGAACTGGCTGCTGCTTCCCCCTCTGCTGCTCTGGAACCAGTCATTGCTACTCCCCAATGTACCAAATTTTCAAGAATTCCAGATTTTCGATATACAGATTTATGAGGTTATACTGTATTCTTAATGACATGTAGTAACTTGTTTTATCATCTAGGTATGGGAAGCTTGTGTTATACCTGGTGAGATAGAAAGAATTTGAATAATTAAAATGTTTTTCACAGTTGACCCATCTCTTCTTTTCACTCATCCTATCCATACACAGACAGTCATCATGATCCTAAATCAATTATTTACTAAATATACTGTGCTAGTATATTAAATAGTTGAAGTTTGGTATATCAATGCTTTTCAACCTTTTTCATTTGCAGACCCCTAAAATACTTAGAATACAGGCATGGACCCCTTTGGGAATCTATTGTGCATATAGTGAACATAAGTAGATAATTACTGTCAAACTGTTGTGTTAAAATAATACCATCAACAACAATAACAATAATACAATTTTGTGACCTCACTATTTTGTTGTCAGTTCATATAAGATGTTTAAGCCTGCTTCTTGGCAGAAAGCACATAAAAGTTTGATAGGATAGGTGACAGGTTCAGTCTTAGGTCTCCTTCAATATCCAATTAGTTTCAATTTTTTCATTTTTATTGATACTGTGGCAGGGTACTGTTTGTGCCTGCCACTTTAAGATCAGAGCCAAGCAGCCAGCAGGTGCCTGATTATGGCAGCCATTTTTAGATTCAGGGATGCCTATATAAGCAGGACATTTTGCTGCTGGCAGGCCAGTCAGTAACCTTGCGTGGCTGCAAGGCCTTATGGATCATCCTGGAGGTAAGGGAGGAGCTATAGGGGATGGTCCGGAGGTTCCTGGTCCTGGGCATGACCTAAAACTGCACCCTGCCTGGAGTGGGTGGGCTGGTGGGGCTCTCAGTGGTGCTGGAGTCCCCAAGAAATGCCAGGTCAGTTACCACCCCGATGAAAGGCGGGTCAGGGCACCTTAACCCCAGCTCCCATAACTGGGTGGGTCATCCGCTGGTAGGGTCCAGTGAGGGTGGACCCCAGAAGTGAGAGTGGGGCTAGAGACTTCTACCTGATCGAGAGAGTACCCCCCACGGGCTGGGGCCAGGACCAGAATGGTCAAAAGGGCCGGGGGCCCATGGCAAGGGACACCTAGAGCTTGGAGGGCCTGGGGTTCCTGACTGACCTTTGGGGTGGGGCCAGGGCCTGTATGGCCAAAGGTCCTGAGGGGGACCACGCCCAAGAGGAGAAAATGGTTTCAGCGAGCTAGTTAGCCTGAATGAGGGTGGGGTAGGCCACCTGAGTGGAGGGATCTTGGAGGGGTCCTGATAGAAGGATTCTGGGGCCCAGTGTGGGATTGGTGAGAGTAACAGCTGGATACCATCTGCGGGGCATGGGCTGCGGTGTAGGGGAAGTATGGAGCCGCAGATAGTGCCCCTTGGCATCAGGGCAAGAAAATGGGCAGCCTACTGCCTAATTAAAATCAATTAATTAACAATAAGGTGTGGACGGTGAAAGGGCGGGTGGTTGGCCCAGAAACAGGTGTGTGGGGCATATGCAAATCAGCCCCAAGAGGGCCCCCTGTTACAAATACTAAGGTTGAAAACCCACTTTTACATAAATATGTGACTGTGAAGAGCATCAAGATTTAATGTCCTTATCTGTCAGATCAGGGTACACTTTTTTATTTTCAAGCAGAATTGGGCAAGAAGTTTCCATTTGAATTCATGTTTCAGTCTACCACCATAGGATAACTCAGGTAGTTTCTCTTTTTCTTTACCTGTTAGACAGGACCTGGATTTGCAGTTTGCTACAAACAGGTTATGTATTTATTCTCATTGCCCATTTCAGGAAAGTACTGGTGAAACTGAGATTTCAATGCTAGCAAATGTTCCTTGATTGCACTTTTCACATTATTGTCTAGCATCAACTTATTTTCAGCCAGAAAGCTGTCAAGGGGTTTGAATGCATCAAGTTGTTTTAGCTTACTCGAGAAACCTACAGGACTGAAGCTTTTTGATAAAAGCCATTGGGTACAGTCCCCTGTGTACACAAAAAAAATTCACTCAGGGATTCCCCCAGATTGCCACATCAAACCCTCACACATTCACATGTATCAGATGTGCTGTGAAGATGAAAATTCAGGAAACAGACTGAGCAAGTATGTACCACTATACCCCACCCCACTAGGCTTTTGCTGGTGGCCTCCATCAGTTTTGTAGGACCTAACCTTTCACTAAAAATGTGAAGTTTTTATTATTCCAAATAAAGATTTCCATAAGTGCCTTAAGACACGACCATTTTTCACAATGGAAATTCTATCCAGTGGTATGCACTCTCTAACCCTCTCTCCCTCTTTCTCACACCTGTTCCAGTGTGTAGATGGATAGACTGGACATTTAGTTTCTCATATCAGGAAATATCTTTTTTGCAGAAAGATAGCAAGCATTGCAAAGAAGTATTAATTTTAACCATATATTAGAAAGTATTGATAAATTATAATCATATTGTTGAGAAAACAATGCAGATCAGAGAATAAATTCAAACCTCATCATCATCTTCATCATCATCAGTATGTTTAAAAAACAAACAAAAGAAACTAAACAAAAAAACCCAACAACAAATCTGAGCATTTTAATTGCCACCTTTTGATCCCAAATTGACTGAAGAAATTTAAAGTTGGGGAAGGAAGGGAAAGAAAACATTACTAGACCAATTTTTAACTGCTGAAATTCATATTAAAATACTTTTAAAAAGAAGCTTGTTGGTGTAACATTGATTTTTTTCGTTCAGAGAAGTAATTACAAACAGCTGGAAAAGATCTCACAAATAAATTTCAGCTCTTGGTTTGATTTAGAATATGCTAATAAATGGGAACAAGTGGATGCCATTAAAATATAATCTAGAGAGATTTCTAAAAATATGGGCCTCTGTTAAGAGATTTCCTGCAGGGTACATAAAATAAATGCTCACAACAGGACAATTTTATAGGTATATCCAGTTGCTTTGCATCTAGTTGTTACAATAGGCTTGCTTTGTTATACCAGACATGTATGTCTTTATTACAAACACATTTTTTCTTTTTAAAATATGCTTTATGCATTTTGGTGGTTGTAAGAACATAAAGACCTAACTGATCACATCTGGATTTCAGGGACTAGACTATAATGTTGATTCTCTTTCAGAATTACTTCAACAATACTTTAACTAGTGAGGGGAGGCAAGTGGAGAATGAGCCCTGGGCACTAATTTATTGTAAGAACCAGGAAGTAGTACACAGACTGTTAGGAAAAATACAGTACATAATTTGCCTTCAGAGAATAATCAAGGAATCCACCTAAAATTATTTTTTGCAAATATTTGTGTTACTGAATTTTCATCTTGTGCTATCATAGAATCCTATAAAAATAGGGCTAAAAAAGACCTCAGGAAATCATCTGATCCAGCCCGTAGCCCAAGACAGGATCACCCCATCTAAACCACTTTAAATAAGTGTTTATGTCATCTGTTTTTAAATATGTCTAAGAATGTAGATTCCACAACATCTCTAGGTAACTTGTTCCAAAGCTCAAGTAGCCTCATAGTGAAAGATTTTGTCTTAATATCCAAATTAAATTTCTTAAATCCTTCCAAAGTTGCCAAAAATAGATTTAAAAAAGATTACATTGTTCTTTCTCAACTTGCGAGCCTGGTGGATGACAGATGGGAATGTAGTGATAATTTTTCAGTCCCAGTTTATAAAGAATCTTTCAAATACATGTATTCCTTTTAGCAGCCATAGCAGAGGGACTTAATGAAAGATTGGACATAAAAGTTGAGATACCCTTTCATCCTTTGGTAAACCTAGGCTCAGAGTTAAGGATTATTACTGGGGCAGCTGGTCTTTGCTCATAAAACAGAGAGGGCAGCAATAGCTGGTATTATCAGATTAGCATTTTTCACTAACATTAAAAAGGCCATATCAAGAAAAACTGGAAAGCAAAATAAAGAAGCTGGAGACATGCTGAAATAGAGCACTGTCCAGAATTAAAGCAATTGCAAAATGACAAAATGTATATTGTTTTTTAGAAATGTATTCCAGAAACTACAGGATTATATCTACAGAATTAGGAATAGGCAGATTAAAACAGTATTATAATAAGGATGGACTTATAACACAATTAAAATCCTGATGACAAACAGGGAAAATGATAAAAGAGTGAATGCATTGTTGGAGGAACCCTAGATATGCATGGAGAGTATAATGGGGAAAAAAGACTGACTGAGGTAAACAAATGCGTAGTGCATTTTATTCTGGGACGTTCAGAAAAAACAGAAAAGAATACAAATAACTTCTTTGTGGATAAAAATGTATGAAACCACAGAGATGTAGGCTTACTGCTCAAATCTTAGCATTGCATTAGAAAAGTTTGAAATGGACATGTCCTTAAAATATTTGCTAACCCAGTGGAAGAACAGTTTCTTGAATGCAACAACAGGCAGTTTAAGGCAGACCATGAAGAGCATCTATTGGATTTAAACTGAGGTAATGTATTGCCTAAAGACTTTGGAAGGAAAACAAGTGGATGGATTTATGAAGAACTGAAGGAGGATTGTAATGTGTCCCCTGCTATTGAATGTCAACACTGGTAGAAGTTATCATCATGCAACATAAAGCAAAGTACTAGAGCCCTCTACTTATACGAAAAATTGTACCATCAATCCTCTAGTTTTTGTGTGCTTGCCCCTAAATTTACTTCAGCAAAGCCCATGGGTATGAATGTCTACCTATCTCTTATAATTGCATATCTGCAATTATATAATTGCATCTCATATAATTGCATATCTTTTCACATATGCATCCACAGTGTAAATATACATTGTTAATTGGCAGGGAACCCACCAGAGCAGACTTAGCCCAAAAGTGAATTTCCCCAGTGCTGGACTACAAAAAGTGCACATCATTGCATAATCAAACAACTGTAGTTACTTTATCAGGTGCTCTATAGAGAAATTTCCATCTTGCCAAGTCATTAGGAGGTGTGAAAATCTTTTTAGCTGGAATTTCTCTTAAATAAATCACACTAACCCATATCCAAAGAACTCTTCCTGATGAGGGCAAAAGGCTAATGAAATACTTAATCAAGGGTCAGACAGGTAAATTGGTCTCTTAGACAGAATACAGCATATGCTTTACTTTCTCTCAGCAATAAGAATTTCCTTTCACAGAGCTATAAAATTGTGCGCATCTTTATGTTCTAGGTAGAATGTAATTAATTGAGGTAGAGAGTAATTCTTTCTTAGAAATCAATGGTTTTTCAAAAAGAAAGAAATAAAATCAGACCTTTCCCCCCTCTTAAATATGCTGAACTATAATTGCAAATGCTACATGGAATTCTCTGAGAAAATTGCTCTATGGATCTTATATAAATTTATGCAAAAGTTTTCATAAAGATCAAATAAAATGAAAGCTTGGTCAAAATAAATAACATCCTTAAAAGCTACAGAATTATGCCGACTGTTTAATGAGCTGTTTCCCGTGTGGGAAACAGCTGGACCAATCACGGCGGCCATACTGGCCACCGTGGGAAAGTTTAAAAGCCCCACCAGAACCAAGGCAGGGGGTGAGCCAGGGAGAGAGAGTGCTGGTGGGCAGCATGCTAGACGTGCTGAGGCTCCAGCATGGAAGAGGAACAGCAGAGCCTGCATAGCTCCTGCAGGCCACGGAGGGGAAACTTCTGAGCCCCCTGCAGGAGGCAAAGCAGGGGAAGCCCTCCAGCTCCCCGCTGAAGGTGAGCCAAGGGAAGCATTTAAGGTTCCTGTAGGGAGCAGGGCAGAGGAGGCATTTGAGCCCCCTGGAGGAGGCTGGAGACAAGGAGGCAGCTCCACAGCCTTCTTCTCCTCAGGGGAGTATTTCTTCTGAGACAAAAAAACCCCCAAAACCCAAAAACAGAAAAAAGGGGAAAATCAAAGAGCCTAGAGAAGGTGGGCCATGCTTCAAGGCCGGAGGGAGGAGAGCCATTTGCATCCGCGCCAACATGGGACCCCACCTGAAACAAGCTGCAGGCAGCCCCTCAGGGCCAAAATCCCCATTCTATGAACATGCATCCAGTTGGTGAGTGGATAGCGTGTAAGGGAGGCAGAGCCCTGTGGAACAACACGCCAAACAACTGTGAGTACTGCCGTTTGTTGGGAGGCCCACCTAGGAAGATCTCCACTGAACCCCCTCTCTTGATAGTTTAACATCAAAGTCGTGGCAGGTGAGTTGAGGGGAAGGGCTACACACCCAACAGGCCGTGCAACATGTAAGACCCCAGAGATCTCACATGCCCAGGACCAGGAGCCTCCAAACCTTCCCCTACAGCTCCTGCCTTTATCTCCAGAATGTTGTGTTCAGCCTAGCAGCCAAGCAATGTTACTGCCTGGCCTGCCAGCAGCAAAATGACCTGTTTATATAGGTAGCCATGGATCTAAAATGGCTGCCACAATTAAGCACCTGCTGGCTGCTTGGCTTGGCCCTTAAAGTGGCAGACACCAACAGTGCCATGCCACAATCTTTCTGGGATCATTTGACTCTAGCAGACTTCCTGCCTATAGTAGAGGGGCTGGATTTGATGATCTCATGAGGTCCTTTCCAGCCCCTAAAGTCTATGAAGTCTATGTCTATGAAGTCTATATACATGTATACAGGCATGTATATATAGACTGACAAGAAGACATTGCCTTTGTTGCACAGATTAATTTTTATGGCGGCGCAAAACATGAGTGAACAGATGTTCTTGCCCCGTGTTATGCCCCAGATGCCCAAACATGTGAGCACGATGGTTCCTATTAATAGTCTGTGCTGCTTTATTGTGGTGAACATCTGTTCAGTTATGGCATGATCCCTACAGCCTGGGGCCACCCACACTCTCCAGCTGCCCCAAACAGGTGATTCCAGGGTGCAGGTTTCATACTATAGAGCAAGAGAACCCTGTGTGATTCCCTTATACATACTTGCAGACAGGCACCATGGGTTAAGGCCCGGTACCCACGACCATGAGACCTTAGAAGTCCTGGGAGTGGCAGTGGCCTGATTTTGCAGGGAAATGGAAACACAGGGAATATCTGTACCTGCCAATCAACTGGACAACCTGCCACTGCTAATCCTGTGATAAACATGTTTTTTTGAAGTCTGAGAGAGAGAGAGAAAGACAATGAGTTTGTATTCTCTCTCTCTCTTTCTCTCTCTCTCTCTGATATATTTCTGATATATTTTATTCACATACATATCTTCTGTGTTTTCTTTTCACATTTTTTACCATGCGTTTGGTGTAATTTGAATTGAGAAAAAAGAGCATGAGGGATCAGATATTGTCACACTTTTTCTACTCCTGTTTGAGCCCATGATCAACAGCTTGCAGCAAGAGACTTGATTCTTTTTTCAAGCAAACATGCTAATTCATGTTACATTTTCCTTCCAACCACTATCATTATCTTCTGAAGGATCATTAAAATTCACTGACAATCTCTTCTCACATGGATGCTTCACAACAGCTCTAATTATGTGTTTATTCTATGTGGTGGATTTTTAGTTTCTTATTTTTTCTTTAAATTGTCATCTGATTGTTGTTACTACTTTGTTATTTAGCATTCTTGGGTTTTTTTCCTCCTTTGTTGAATGAATTACAGTAAGAATGCATGATGGATGATTAATTAAAATGGAAAAAGCGAATAAAGACTCACTTCATTTCTCTTTGATTCCTCCCTGTCCCTTCTTTCATACACTGTTAACTTAAAAAAAATGAAATCTAGGGAAAGAGGTCACTGAAACTTAGTCTTTGTTATTCCCATCTGTAGGTCATAATCATATTCTTTTTAGTGATAACCAATAATTGTTACCTCCATTGTTTTACAAAAAAAAAATAAACAAACTCCAAACATCTCGTAACAAAGTCAAGTAAGAAAAGTATTATGTAACAATGTTGGAGGAAGCTCTTGATATTCTGAAGCAATGTAAAGAAGTGGTAACATTAGGAAGAATGATGTGGAAAGAGACACTTGCCCTGGAGGCAAAGTACCATGACTGCCATTAGGAATGGCCTACTCTGATTACAGGGTGCTTTTTTGTAAAGAAAATTGAAATTTTGGAACTTTAACTTAAAGAAAATGGGTAGAGGTGATAGTACTTCTTACTGTAATTTTTTTAGGTCCTATGCTGATACAGAATGGAAACACTAGAACTAGATGTTACTTGTGTTGCTGAAGAAGTTAATAAAAAGTTAAACTTGTTGCTTTTCTAAAAAAAGAAAGCCAAGTTATAGTTCTATTGTGATTGTCTTAGGTGGTGTCACACATCCAGCTCAATACTTACTAAAATTCAAGCAGTTAAACCTGGAGCAGCTTGAAGTTCAAGTACTTTACCACATGGTAAGTGCCCTCTTAGCATTGCAAAGTTGTTCCCTTTCAGGCAATGATTATCCTTAAAACATCCTAACTTTAATAGGTCACTACATCCCACTGATCTGCAACTCTTGCAAGTGAATGTGTAACAAGGTCCCCAGTTGTAGGGGAATCATGACAGAATAAGTATATGGCACTTCACATAGGCCCTTTTAACCCGTCATTTCCATATTCTTAAATGGTAAATAGGTTAATAAATTCATCATCATTGTATTTAAATGGAGCAAGTATTTAAATGTCATGTTTCCAAATTATGCTATTCTAATACAATTTTGTACAAGATGAAACTCAATTTTAATTTGGCTAGTGTGAATAATTATATGCATTTTTCCAGAAAGACAACCAGTTATTATCATTCATTGAAGCTTCACAGTACCCTGCAATGATAGCAGCACTAACACACTGCTTTTTTAAAGTTCTTATTTGCTCTGTGCTGCACCCCATTGCTGTTATGTGCTAATGATCCCTGCAGATTTTCATAAAAGGGAAGGCTTAATGTTCATGTAAGTTAAAAGTTTATTAACTAAATAGGAATTTATTCTTAAACTGATGACCTCCTAATATTCTCATTCATTGCTGCATTTTAAATAATAATAATGAGAAAAGAAAAACAACCCCCCTATATTCAATAACAGGTAATTGAGAGGAACTGTATTACTTATGGTCTCAGCTGATGCAACAAGTACAGCTAAAATACCACTTTCTCAGTCTTCTTACCCCTCTCTAGTTGAAGCATTGCTTTTTATTTGTAGATGTCACACTATAATGTTATATGTTACCTTTCCTGTAGAGTATCAAGAGAGTTTCTACTACACCAGTGGCCTGCTACAAACAAATCAGAAGGGACCAGCAGGCATTGGGGGAGTCCCTGTTCCCCCGAGCACTACCAGGAGTGACCAGGAATAACGGTCACAAGCTGGCAGAGGGTAGATTTAGGCTAGACATCAGGAGGCGCTATTTCATTGTCAGGGCAGCTGGGATCTGGAACCAACTTCCAAGCAAAGTGGTGCTGGCTCCTACTCTGTGGGTCTTTAAGAGGACACTGGATGAACACCTTGCCAGGGTCATTTGACCCCAGTACTTTTTCCTGCCATGGCAGGGGTTCGGACTTGATGATCTGCTCAGGTCCCTTCCGACCCTACCAACTATGAAACTATGAAACCATTCATGAAGTTGTGTATATTCCCCTTTTCTATCTTCCCTGTTCCATGGGAACTCTACTATATTTCTGTGCCAAGCCCAGGACCACTACAGAAAAGCATGTCGAAACCACTTACCACTTCCTCTTCTGCAAGTGCCGAAACCCAGAAATATGGCATTGGAGGCAGAAATTCAGGCAACAGGTATGCCTGAGACAGAGAGCCTGAGAATGGCTCTCAGCACCTGCTCACTACTACTTTACATGCTTAAGTTGATTCATTGCTGGGGTTTGACATGTATAGAGTAGAAAGGAACAAGGGAATGGGACTTGCTTCTCCGTGACTCTCTTGGCTGTGTAGACAAGCTCTGTACCATGATAAAAATAGATAAAACAAGAGACTGGAGAACTTTTCTTTCTCTCAATTCATGATGTAAAAAAGCCATCAAGGTATAGAATTAAATCAAAAGGTGGAAAATAAACATTGACAAAAAGGAGTGCTGTTAAATATGGTATTTAATTGGACTGTAGAACTAGTAGCCACAGGATAATATTGAAAATGATAAGTCAGTGAGATTCAAAGTATAAATATATATGGACAAGGTTAGCTACATTTCTAATAATAAACAATGACAAACTTTGGAAGGGATATAACAGTTCATGTTTCAGAGGTCCTTTCTACAGATAGTTGCAGGACAGAAGGCATGATTGTACAATCACATGCTAGATCCAATCATGGCTTACTGCTGGTGTAGGGGGAGCCTGAACCTGGGCTTCCCCATATGGTCAAGAAGCAGGCTCTCACAGCTGGGAGCTCCCTTTGCTGAAGGGGATCCCAGCTGCAGTACCCATGTGCAGCTGGGACTGGACCTAGAGACCCTACAGCTGATGGGGCTGTGAGTCTCAGCTGCATGTGAGGCATAGCTAGGACCCAGAGCTCTGTCAGGTGCAGGACTCCCAGTGCCAGCTGTAGATGAGGCACAGCTGGGACCAAGGTCCTGGGCATTTCATTGTTCCTTGAGTCTTGGGAATCACGGCAGCCATGATCCCCAGGGTTTTAGGATTGCACCCCTGTGGCTGTGCATGTATAGCTGGTCTCAAGGGGTGCTTGTGCATATAATGCCCTTAACATGTACATGTGACAAAAATGTAACTTTGTGTGGTTTAATGGCATCACAGTATACACGTGCAAGACTTTTCGGGGGTTTAAAATGATTTTGCATCATTGAAAACTAAACTACATACAGATGTATTTTAGTTTGTAATATGGGAATTGCAACAATGCAGCTGTCAGCTTGTCTCTTGGCTATGGGAGAAGTAGGGAGGATCTGCAGGGAAAAAAAAATTGGGACCCTCACCACTTCTACCTTCAACAGATGCCTACTTTTCCTTTTTTTTTCTTTTTGGTGGAGCCTACTCACCCCTCCCACAGCCCACAGGGGTGAGTTGCTGGTAGGCTGAGCAGCTCCTTAGCTGTGGGGCACCCCAATCCTTCCCTTTGCAGTGGCGGCACCCCTTGGAGTCACACAGGCAAGCTGCTAGCAGGCTGGGTCCTGCCCCACCTTGGGATCAGGGAAGAGTTGGAATGGGCTGGGTGCTGCCTCCCAGCTGGGGCAGCACCCAACCCACTAGCAGTCCACCCAGGCCGCCCCAGGGGGTGCCGCCATTGCAGAAGGAAGGATTGGGGCCCTTTGCAGCTTAGGGGCTCCTCAGCCCACTGGCAGCTCACCTTCCAGCTGTGGGAAAGGTGGGCAGATTACACAGAAAAATTATTAGAAACAGCAAGGTGCCCGATCCTTTTTTTCGGCAGAGCCTGCCCACCTCTCCCATAGCTGAGGGGCAAGCTGCTGATGGGCCAACCAGCTGCTGAGCTGCACGGGCCCCTGGTCCTTTCTTCTGCAGTGGTGGTGCCCCCCCAGGGCTGCCTGGGTGAGCTGCTAGCAGGGCAATCCAATTTTTCCCTAATCCCAAGCTGGGGCAGCACCTGGCCCACTAGCAGCCTGTCTGGGTGGCCCCAGGGGGCTCTGCCACTGTGGAGGGAAGACTAGGATACCCCCACCCCCAGCTCAGGGGCCACTGGCTTGCCAGCAACTCACCCCCTGCCTGTGGACAGGATCTGTCTGTGGCTAAAGAAAATAAAAATAAACAATTGGATTGGGCCCCTCAGTGTAATGTGATAGAAAAATCAAAATGATTGGTTTCAATTAAAAACCCATCATTTCAATTTAGGGTGCATAGAATATAACTTTGACAATTAAAAACCCATCACATGTACAAATGCCCAAGGTAATTGTGCAATTAACCAGTTATTTGTGTGATACCTGTAACATGTGGAGGGGGCCTGTATCAAATAAATATTGAGAAGTAGTATTAAAACTTTGTGGGGAACACTTCTTAATGCATGTTTCTTGTATCTTCCTCCGAAGAATCTTATGTCAGATATAAAACCATAGAGATGTATTCCTTCCAAGTGAAGAGTTTGTTAATGTAGGTCAGAGCCAATGAATGCATTGCTTAATCAACTGGAGTTAGAGGGGGCAATGAGGCAGAGTAGGGAGTGTAGCTCCCTTCATTACACTGTTTTGAGCATAGTCCACTGTGCTTACAGACTCTCATAGTACAGAGCATAAGATTTTTCAAACCCTGGGTGAATATGATGTGGTATGCCTTGAAGTAGTATATCATATTCTAATACCTCAATAATGAATCCAACATTTGCAAGCATACAAACCACCTACTGTTTGTGAACTTAGTTGTGATTGAATTGGCTAGCTGGGGATGCATATCATTCTAATAACATTTTGAATAACATAGGCTTGATTTTCTCAAGACTTGTTGAGAGAAATAGCATGAGAGAATGCAATTAATCAACAGCAAGATTTTAGGGTTTGATGGATTGAGTGGTAGCAGTTTTAAATGTAAAATGATGGTTCATTTTCAAGATGCTACTAATTGTAAATCAAATCCTGAGATGTTTTGTTGGAACTGTAACTGTGGATGAGTATCGTTATTGTTTTCAATTGGTCTTTGCATTTTGATGGAAAAAAATACATAATAAAGGCTTGATTTTTTAATTCATTTTTATTACCCAGTATTTATTATCAAGCTCCTCATTTTGACTTGAACACCCTGTAAAATAATTTTCACTTTAAAGGTTATTCAGTAAAATAGATTAAATCAACTCTAAAAACATATCTACTTAATTTCAATCACAGTTTATGGACCAGGATATATATAGATAACCCATTACATATGATAAGTATGATTATTCTAAAGGATTCACTAGGAACTACTGTTATTAGGAAAATAACTTTTAGTGACCCTTTTTTGCAATACGTGTATGCTGTAAAAATAATGTACAATGAATAAAAAAGGTAAAATATAGGATGGTCCAATAATTTCAGACTGCTTAAGGGAGAACTACAAGTGAATTTTAATATTACAGGAAATATTTTCAACATTACCTACATGACTTAAAAGACTTGTTTCCATTACTGGATTTGGAATTCTAAGTCATTCACAGACATTTGAAAATGTTTACACCACATTGTATAAAATACAAAATAACTTTTTTGTTAATGGAAGAGGTAATATTTCAGATAAAGAGCCATGCAAGTTTTTAGACATGTCATTCTCAGTATTGTCCTCCTGTCCCAACATCTGTCATATTCTTTATCTCCTGCCCAAATTGGCTAACGCTTTCTCCCCACAATTTCCATGTACACTCTTCAAATTCATTTCATGTAGTTACATAGACATCATGCTTGAGCACCAAGAAATAAAATACCCTACTTTTTCCCCCCTCATAAACAAAGTCAAAACTTAAAAACAGATTAAGGCAAATTAAAAGAACAGATAAATAATCCTAACTCAGTATTTTCAGATGGGGATTTCTTTGCTCTACTGAAATAGAAATTAAATTGTGGTTTTCATCAAGTTATAAGTTTTGACCATCACTGGGAGGTGGACATGGTGACTTTTTGGGTAGAAAAGAAGGTAGATGGTTTGATATGGTGTGGAGGCGGTTATATCCTCATGAGCTTGGCAAGTTTTATTTAGTATCCAAAGAATTTTGAGCACATATCTAGAATCTCTGAAAATGACTTGGCTCTGAGGTCTAGTATTAAGTGCTTTAACCATTAGCTAGTGGGGCAAAAGTGAGAATTCGCTGCTATTGTCAGAATGACTTAGGCTGTTTGGGAGTCTTTACATATGGTCCTGGTGGGGGAGGGGAGAGCACTTTAATTAGAACAACTTTTGGGAGCTGCTTCAATTAAAGTGCCTGCAGCATCTCATGTATTCAGCATCCTGCACTTCAAACTGGCAGCGGGGGTGCTTTAACTAAAGCTTGTTTGGTGAGCTTTAGTTAAATCACCCCTGTCACCATTTTGAAGTGCGGGGATGCTGAATACAGGGGGTGCTGAGGCTGCCCGAGTATGCTAATTAGCAGGTTCAAGCAAACTCGATTAATTGAGTATGCTCCAATGCGCTGTAATTACAGTGCATGAGAGCAGGTGTCCCACATGTCTACAGGTGCCCCTCCTTTCTGGGTGTTTTTGATTATGAAGTTGTAGAGGAAGCCAATTTTCAGCTCTGAGATAGACACCTAAGTCAGACAAAGAACCAGAGTTTGGACATACCCCTGTGCTTAATAGGGCTGTGCAAAATTTCACCAGGTGTTTCATTTTGAAACTATTTTGATGCATTTCAAGCTCGAAAAAGCAAAATCAAAATGGAACAAAAGCCTTCAAAACAGCTTTGAAATGAAACAAG